AAATAAGCACAGGAATCACCCTGGCACATGTGTTCTGTGAGCCACAGAGATCAGAGTGTGTCCAGTGGGGAACAGGATGGAAAATAAGCACAGGACCCACCCTGGCACAGGTGTTCTGTGAGCCACTTCCCTCGGGGGCTTTGGTTCCAGAGTCTCTGTTCTGAGCTGTGTTTTAAGCAAGCCCCTGGCAGGTATTTTTGGTGGTGCTGAGACTGAAAAGACGAAGCCAGAGTCCAGGGGGCTGTGCCATGGACCGTGCTGGTGGCAGCCTGGCAGAGATCCGTGGGCAGAGCCCCTTGGAGCTGAGCAGGCAGTGCAGAAAGCACTGATCTGTCAAGAGCTGGGGGTGGCAGCAGCTGCCTGGGCAGGCAGGACAGAGCTGCCCCCCCTGAGGCAGGCACTGCTGCTTTAAACAGTGATTTTAAGGCTGGTTTTCTGTGTAAGGTGGAACCAGGCAGCTCCAGCTGTAAATCAGGAGTTTGTTTCTGTGCTCCTGGGGAGAGCAGCTGCTGCAGCACACCAGAGCAGGTCCTAAAGGTCTCAAGTACCCTGACCAAAAGTGTCTCCAGCCACTCTCTGGAAAAGAAACTTCTACCTTCCTGCATAAAGGTAAGAATAAACTCCTATGTGACTACAGGACAGTGTTGAGGAGCCAAGGAGGCTGAAAAGTCTGTCCTTATCTACACCCAGGTGAGCTGCTGAAGCTGTCTGATAAGGATTAGCATTCCTAGAGGGGATCTCCCAATACCTGCCCTGTTATCTCAGAGGCAGTTTTGTGCCTTCAGGGCTCTAAATCCAGCAAAGCCTTGTGCTTTGAAACCTTTCCTCTCCCAGCCCAGGGTCATAGTGCACTAGAGACGTTTCCTGTGCCTGAGGTTTCTGTTTTTAAGATCAGAAGCATCCAAGCAGGGTCAGGTGTCACCCAGCAGACAGGGACAGCTGTAAATGCAGCCTCTGTGTCACACAGCAGCTCAGGGGACATCGTGTGCCTCTCTTCTCCCAGAGGACCCAGGGAGGCAGTAAGGGGTCAGACAGAAGTTAGTATCAGTCAGTATGAGTTCATGGCACAGTTTTGTCACTGAAGAGTGCCTGGAGTGCAGAGCACCCAAAAAAGGTCATTATCCTGTTAACCACAGCTAACTCCTCCCCACTGCAAGTGCCTCTCTATCTCTGTTTCCCTATTTACCATCTGGAGGGTGCAGGCCCAGCAGTGCCCCTGCCTCGGGCAGCTCACCACCTGGAAAAACCTGGTTTTTGGTCCTTCAGAGACTTCACAGGCAGGTGCTGCTGTAGAAAACTCTGGTATCTGCTCAGGGAATGCTTCTTTGCACAGCAGTTATCCAGAACTCAAATCCACTCATCCCAGCTGCCAGAACTCTTAATATAAACTAAGCTAAGGTGTGTATTTATCAGGGGTGAGGTTGTGCAAGGTCAGATCAGTGAGGATGTCACAAACTGGTGGATCAGAGCCTCCTGCTCCCCCTTCTCCCTCTTCCCAATAGGAAGCATCTTCCTTGGCAGGAATTAGCCTACAAGCTGTTGGCATTACTTTTGCGTGATTGGCTGGAGAAATGCCTTTTAAAAAATAAAAATATTTTTAAAAATCCCTGGTTTTGTGGTTGTTCAGATCCCGCAAATCAAAGCCCAGCAGATGTGCAGGTGGAAGGGTCAGACTGGGAGGGGAAATGCACTGCTGTGGGAAGAATCCAGGGGGATTTCTGATGAGTGAGCAAGGGGAGAAGCAAAACCCTGCTGGGGGAAGCCAGGCTTGGCTGTGAGTGCTGTTCCCTCTGTAACATTATTCAGGCCTCTCACTCCTAGAAAGTGTTACTGATCCCTCCAGGAAATGTAATCCAAAATTGACTCCAGAAGGAACTAACCTGTCAGCTGGGACAGCTCAGGGGCAGCTGATTCCTATCCCAGCTCACCAGAGGAAGTGAAAACCCTCCAAGGTTTTCTTTAAACCCTCACCCTCAGTGCCTTAAGACTTTACTTTTCCCCTTTTTCTACTACTGTGAGAGATGAAGAGGCAAAACAAGATTGTGAATCCCATCCCAACTCCAACCCAGACTGGCTGCTGAGTGGGAAAAAGAAATAACTAGGAAAAAAACCAAAGGCCTCAAAGAGAAACCTCCCTCAGTGTGAAGGGCACTGCAGCACCAGGTTCTGCCCTTGTGCTCTTCCTGAGGGATTTCACATTGCTGAGTGTCAGGATAGGTGTCAAACAGGTTAAAACCCCACTTTAATGTGCAGGTAGGACAAATTTCAGTGCCTGGCCTGGCCTGATTTAACAGAGCTTGTGCAGCTCTGTCCCTGGGGCCCAGCCTGAGGGAACATCAGCTGGGAATCTGCACAGCAGAAAGGACTCAGGATGACAAAAAGGGCTCCTTGCCTCCCTAACAGAGAGGATGTGAGCAACAAACACTGATCAGCAGCATTTATCTGTGACCCTCTCTGAATTCTCTGTCTCCAGGTGGAGGAGACCCCACATCCCAGCTCCTCTTTCCTGGCAGGGTGGATCCCAGGGCTCCCTCTGGGTCGTCCTGCTTGCTGCTTGAAATTAAATTCTAGAAGAGGGGCATTCCAGCAGCAGCAGGGGAATTCTGTGTGCTTAGTAATTGTGGGAGTGACTGAAAGGGGAAAGGGGACTCTGGGACAGTCTGGCAAGTCACAGTGGGGAAAATGAGCCCCAGAAAGGCCTTCCCAGGCCCTAGCACCTCAATTCATGGTACAGCAGCCATTTCAGCAGCCTCCCTGGAAGAAAGTCAGGGAGCAGTACAGTAGTCAGCAGCATTAAATTAAATAAATAGTCATAAATAGCCTTTACTCTCTGGTTTTCCCCAACTGGACTTTGCTTTCACAGTCTGGAATGTTTTGGTAGCCTGGCTCCATCCATGCTCCTGCACAGGTGAGGCATGTGGAAAAATCAGCAAGTTATTCCTGCATCCAGTGCCTCTCCCTGGTTGGAAAGTGGGAGCTTAGAGGGTTTTCCTCAGGCTGCACTGAGGATATTCTGTGCTACAGAATGGTGTGAGACCAATTATTGATCCTGGAGGAGCTACAACTGCACCATTTCCAAACTGGGAACGTGCAGCTGCCTCCCTCCTGCCAGTCAGAAGGTGGAAAAACGCCAGTGCTGGACAAAGTGGGACTGACATTCCCTAACCCACCTGGCTGGGGAAGAGACCAAAGCCTTTATTAAACACCTGAAGGAGCAGCCTGCTTCCCCACCCCAGGCCCCGTGGAGTTTGTGCATTGCACAGCACAAGCTGCTCCTCTTCCCCATCTGGCTGCTACTGGAGTTTGGAATTATCCCCCAGAACAAGTGAAAATGCACACTGGCTTTTTTTTAGTGCAGCTCTACCAGCTGGCTGCCTCCCAGGGCTGCAGAACCCAGCTGATGGAGACACCCCTCAGGTGCTCACAGCAGCTCTGTCCTGCCACCCTCGGATGGGCCCTTTTTCCTTTCCTCCCTGTGACCTCTCCTGGATTTTTGGAAGCCTTGTTGCTCCACAGATGCAGTCATGTAAATAACCACAGTGATGGCTCTTGCTGCATAGATACAATTATGGAATTTATCCCAGGCAAGGAAAGGAAGCTGTTGTTTTTCCCCCTGTTCCCTCCCAGGTTCTGGGACAAGAGCTGGGTGAACAAACAGGAGAGAGATTTGCTGAGCTGGGTAATGGGAGTGCTTGCAAATCAACCCTAATTTTGGTTTTGTGTTGAAATTTGGGTCCTCCCACTGTGGTGATTCCAGCACCGATGCAGACCTGCAGCACAGGGGTGGCTCAGTGGCAGGGGCCCAAGCACAGAGAAAGCAGAGGACAGGGCAAGGGGACACTGTCACAGGTGCCACTCACCTGGGAGGCAGACGCTGCCCTGGCTCTCACTGCAGCACAGGGGGTTTGTGGAAGGGATTGCAGCTCTGTGCTTTGCTCTCTGAGCCAGCCTGGCCACCCTGACAGCAAACTCCTGCTCCCAGGAGAGGCTGCCAGGGGGATCTGCCCTCCACAGAGCCCCAGCAGCTCCCCCTCCTCTCCAAAGCAGTTTTGCAAAGGATTGACAGCGACTGCCAAACCTTTGTGCCCCGAAGGCAGCACGGTGAGGGAGGTGACAGTGTCCCCTGTGGGACAGCAACAGAGTGAAGCAGGGATCTCCATGCAGGGAGGGGATGGGGACGGGCAGGGGGGGCATTCACGCTGATGCTTCCCTTTGAGACAACAGAAACAGACCAGACAGACAGACAGACAGACAGGAATATTACAGAGGAGCAGTGCACAAGCCCAGGGAGCAGAGCTGGGCACGGCCCTGAGCACACCTCAGTGCTGGGAGAGCACAGCCCTCCCACACACACACCCCCCACACTCCCAGAGACCCTCCAGTTCAGCCAGTGTTGGAGGTCGCTCCTTCCCCTCTTTAGGCTTTTTTTCTTTTTTTTTTTCTCTTAAAATCTGTATATAATATATATATTTATATCTGTATATATATATATATATATATATTTATATATATATTTATATATCCTATTTACACATATTGCACACCGTCCTCTGGCCTCCTGCATTCCTGCCTGTTAATGGAAACGTTTCCTTTTCTCCTCTGGATCTGACCCGAAGTCCCGGGACCCGATGCCATTCTGGAGATTTATTAGAGAATCCTTCATCTGCAAGACAAGAGATTTCTCCACTGTGGTGCTACCCTAGAGGAGAGAACTTGGGGATTTCCTTTTTCCCTGTATAAATCCATAATAACTGTATATTGATATCATAATTGTGGTTTTGGGCATGGAGAGTCAGGGCTGGGATGCACAAATGGGGACTGGGAATGTGGGGCACCATTCTCCAGGAGAAGGGGTGAGCAGAGTCCAGGGTAAGAATAAACACCTGTGTGACCAGCAGGACAGTGCTGAGCAGCCAGGAAGGCTGAAGTCTGTCCTTATCTACACCCAGGTGACCTGCTGAAACTGTCTGATAAGGACATGGATTAATATTCCCTACGTTTTCTCTCCTTAGGGGAAAACAGCTCCTATTTAGGGCCTTTTGAGAGAGCAGCTTTCATTTCTGGCCTGTGCTCTCAGCAACCCTGTGTGCTTTTTGGGGAGCACAACCTGAAATTCCTGGACATATGAGGGAGCAGCTCTCATTTCTGGTCTGTGCTCTCAACAGCCCTGTGTGCTTTTTGGGGAGCACATCCTGAAATTCCTGGCTTTTGTGTCCCCTTCCTCCCTGAAAGCTGCATGTAAATCCAGGGTTCAGCTCAAACCAGTTTGTTCTCCAAACTGGGATGACAGATTAAATACCAAATGTGCCAGTATGAGGTTTTTGGCCCTGTAGAGTTCTTGATGTGCATGGACCCCTCTGATGGGAGAGAGCAGCCGTGGCCCTTGTGGTACCCACCAGCAGCAGGAGATGGATCTAAGGGAGCTGGCACACCTGAGGGGCTGTGGTGGCAGCAGGAGATGCTGAAGGATGGGGAGCAGGACTGGGAGGACACAGTGACACCCAGGTCACAGCCCTGCCTGCAGCTCTGCAGTCTCACCTGGTCCAGGAGCATCACGGAGGATTTGATGATCTCGCGCCACTTCTGCAGCTCTGAGTCGTGGTACTTCTGCTGGGACTCCAGCAACTGGGCCCACTCTGTCTGAGACTGGGGTAACCTGCCACAGAAACACAGGCAGGAGTCATAAAAGCACAGTTTGTACAGAGATTTCCCTTTCACAGAATCACCAGGTTGGAAGAGACCTTCAAGATCATTGAGTACAACCCAGCCCCAACCCCTCAGCTCAACCCTGGTACCCAGTGCCACATCCAGGCTGGTTTTAAACACACCCAGGGGTCGTGACTCCACCACCTCCCCAGGCAGCCATTGCAGAACTTTATCACCTTTCTGTAAAAAAACTTTTCCTAATATCCAGCCTGTATTTCCCTTGCTGCAGCTTAAGGCTGTGTCCTGTCATTCTGTCAGTTCCTGGAGAAAGAGCCCAACCCCACCTGAGCACAGCCACCTTCCAGGGAGTTCAGAGAGTGACAAGGTCACCCCTGAGTCTCCTTTTCTCCAGGCTGAGCACCCCCAGCTCCCTCAGTGGTTTCTCACAGGGTTTGTGTTCCCAGCCCCTCTCCAGCCTCCTGGATGTGCTCGAGTGTCCCAAGGCTCTTCCCAAACTGAGGGGCCAGAGCTGGGCACAGCACTCGAGGTGTGCCCTCACCAGTGGGACAGTGACCTCCCTGCTCCTGCTGGCCACACCATTCCTGGTCCAGGCCAGGAGCCACTGGCCTTCTTGGCCACCAGGGCACACTGCTGGCTCATGTTCAGTGCCCCCAGGTCCCTTTCTGCCTTTATTGTGAGCAATAGCTGCTCTGGCTCTGTTTTCCAAGCCTTTCCCTTCAGGCCCATTTAAACCCCTGAAGCAGAATTGAGGGGAGGGAAATCAGGACAGATGGAAGCATTCCAGGTGCTTGGATGGATTCATGTGCTTCCACAGCAGTCGTGGCTGCAGCAAAAAAAATTACCCACGTGGAGCCACCCACAGAATTCCAGCACTTGCACATCACACTGTGCAACCAGATGTAAGTTCTGCACTTAAATACTATTGTAGTAGTCTAAAAATCGCCAAGAGCACCACAGAAAGATAAAATCACCTAAAGTATCTATAATCACTTAAAGTATCTATCTGTGTAGAAGGGCTGCTATGGGGAACATAGTAATTCCCTTTCCCAATGAGGAAAAATGACATGAATAGGGCAAAAAATTCCAAGACAGTGGTAGCACATGGCTATGAATGCTTGAAGTGTAGCAAGGGAGCAACTGGGACTCCAAAAAAGGGACACAAGGGGACAAAAACACCTCAGAAAAGTGGATGTAGGATGTTCTCAGCCTCTAAAAATAGACCAGAGATCATTCAGGCAGCACATGTGCATCCACGCCTTCCAAAACACAAACCTGACAGACCGTGTGTCCCAGCCCCAAATTCTCCTCTGATACAAAGGGACCATTCTAAGGTGCTGCTTCCCATACAGGGAAAATTTTGGCCATCAAAGGAGGGGAAGTGACCTCCTCAGCCCAAAACTGCTGAACATTTATTCACAGAGCATCCTCTGGCTATCAAAGGAGAGGAAGTGACCTCCTCAACCCAAAATTGCTGAACATTTATTCACAGAGCATCCTCTGTTGCCTTCACTCTGCTCTTCAGCTGCAGGGGAGATGCACACAGCCCTTCAGCTTCACCTGTTTTACCCAAAAGTGAGAGCCCAGAGCTCTGGTGTGACAGGAACGCCTCTGACACCCAGGAAAACCAAGGAGAGCCCCAGCAGGTGTGGCTGTACCTCTCCTGCAGCCTCAGGCCCTGCCACGCCGTCAGCGTCTGCGTGGTGTACTCCAACATCCAGAGCTTGTAGAACAGCATCATGTTGAGAATGACCAGCAGCACCAGACTGCAAGGAAAGCAAGGGAAGAGCCACTTCAGGAGCATCCCCCAGCCCACTGCTTGCCAGGAGCACCTGGGACAACACCCAGGACTTCAGGAAGGTGCCTGAGGCCCAGTCCATGCTGTGAGTGGGGATTTCATCCGAGTGAGCAACCAAAACTTCACCTCGTGGAGGAAATGTGTGAGCCAGGAGGACAGACAGACAGAACAGGCTGGGTGAGTGGATGTGCTGAATGCAGAGAAAGGGAGGGAAATGGGAGAGTAAAGAGGTAAAAAAAGAGAGAGACAGTACCTGAAACAGATCCTAATGGGAGCAGGGAAGAGAAAAGACGGAGCAGCTGCAGGTTAGAAACGGACCAACACAAACTGGGCTGGAGGGGAGGCTCAGGCAGTGCAGAGGTACGGGGGAAAGGAGCAGAGGGAAGAGAGGCAGGAGGGACAGACAGGGATCCGTGAGCCTGCACTGCTGGTGAAGTTCCCTCAGCACAGCCGAGCTCCTGGGGACAGCGGGTGGCTGTGCAGGCACTGACACACACACACACACACAGACACACACACACAGTGCTCACACCCAGCTTCTCCCATTCCCAGTGAGCACTGACACACACACAGTGCTCACATCCAGCCTTCCCCATTCCCAGTG